GCACGCCGCCCCTCCTGGGAAATTTGTCTTTGTGTTAACTTACGGGATTTTAACAAAGCTCTCATTCTTGACAAATACCCTCTCTCTTCACAGGAAGAACTTATGACAGAGTTTTGCTTTAACCATCTTCTCCAAGTTGAACCTGCGTAAGAGCTATCTGCAAATTCTTTTACATGAGGATAGCGAACACCTAACTGCATTCATTACTCACGATGGTGTGTTCCAATACAAGCGCATGTCGTATGGTCTGTCATCCGCTCCGAGTGCGTTCCTAAAGATTCTTTCTTCCATCTTGTCAGGTGTTAAAGGTGATTTTAGACTAGGGTTACACGAGAGGAAATTGTTCCGGATTCGTGATGAATCCGAAACGTTTTAGTACCGGATTGATTTTGCCGTTTACACGAAAGTAGACGAATCCGGGATAAAAACTCCCCGGTTTGGTCGTGTCTCGGGAGATTTTGAATCCGGAATTTAAAGTGGGAACTTTGAATCCGATAACTTTTGTATCCGGAAAGTTTTGTTGTGTAACCGCTTTTTTTCTCGAATCCGGATATTATTTCCGCCTGCAATCTTTTCAGTTTGCGGTAAAACCAAAATGGAGGATCTGGTGCTAACATTGCTGGCGGTCTCCGGTTGCCCTAATCTTGTTGCAGGTTCAGCCGATAAGTTTTATCATATGTACCGCAATATTTCTGAGGAAACGCAAATTCTTATTGCAAGGAAGTTTAACGTCAGCCACACTTAATCGCCGACGACGTAGATGGCTTGGCATCTGTCCTGCTCGAATTGCCTCAGTGGTATCTGAATCTACTCTAGCCTTTTTTTGGGGGAGGCATTTTCAATTTGTCGATCGAACGACGAAACAACACTGGGCTTGGTAACCATTCCATTTCGAATGTTCCCGGGGTTGTCGTTGTGTGTAAACGGTCAGGAATCCGAATATCCTTTCAGCGTAAACGCCTACGAATCCGAATACTTCAAAATTGATGAGTCCGGAAACATTTACGAATCCGGACAACTCTCCTCTAGTGTAAACCTAGTCTAAGTATCATTCATTATTTAGATACGATGAATATATGAACTTCATATATTCATCGTATCTGATTTATCATCACGGGTTTATTACGAATCAACTTAACGGCCTGCTCCCAGTTGGCTTGTTAGCTCAATTGGTAGAGCGCTGCACTGGTATCGCAGAGGTCAGTGGTTCGAATCCCGTACAGGCCTGATTTTTTTCAGGTCTGATTTTCGCTATTGCATAAATAGCGCT